AATACCAAGGCACACAAAACAACTAGGCTGAATTGAAGGTGGTGGGGCAGGCGGCTGTAAGGTGGCTACGGTTGAGAGGGATAGGAGGTTGGGATGGGTGGAGGAGGCAGCAAGGTATGCGAGGTGGTTGGCGACTGGGTTGCGACGAGGAAAAAGGGGGCTGTAGGTAGGGCAACAACAAGGAAAGGGAGGGTAGGGGAGTAGAAGGTAGGGCGGCAGCAAGTGCAGGGTGCATTTGGTGGCAGGGGAGCAGCATGTAGGGAAGGTTGGCAGAAGGGAAACAACAGGCCGGGAAAGATGGCGATAGGGAAGCATCATACAAGGGTTAGAGCAGGCTGGGAAAGATGGCGGTAGCAGGTCAGGCAGCTGGAATGAAGGCAGTGGAAGCAGAGAGCGATAGATAAATACCACCTAAGGATGAGTTAAAGCCGGAACACTTTCTCGCCGTTGGATGCAACATAGAAGGGAAAATTGGAGACGCCGATCACTGTCCCGAAAGAAAAGATGTGAAAAACTAAAACCTAGAACACACAACACATATAAATACTATCAGGTGATAAAGGAGTGGTCCACTCATGTTGGGCGGCAACTCCCGTGCCCCCAAGAGGCTGGTCAAATTTCCTGTTCCCCATCTGGACTGGTCTAATTAGCTGCAGGTCCTGGCCGATCCAGTCTTCACGTCCGTGGCAATAATTGATTAATAAAGTAAATACGGACAATGCATATAGGAGAAATTGATTTGACTACTATGGTCATACTATGTGGTTTTTTATGAGTCATATGACAAAAAGCCTCATGGCGCTGTAGATTAAAGTGGATTTTTGGCATTATACTTCAGTGGCCAAATTTACCTTTTGTCCACAAGCTCAAGTCTATGGGGGAGGACCAAACACTTACGATTTTTTACACCAATATGATTTTCAATTATTTGATATGGGACAAATTCAGTACTCTTACACTTAATAATTGCTTTTCTTATGTGATAGATCTTCACATTACTCATTAATATCCCTTAGATGAAAGTTTTTTAATATTGAGTATTATCTACAAGACCTCACTGGACTATGTGGAGCTATCATGTTAGTTACTGTACTGAAATTTTCTCAACTATGGTAGAAAGCACCAAAGATCCATGGAATTCACAAATTGTGTGAACCATTCACCCAACTATAACATCATTTCTTATGCTAATTGTTACGGAGTATGAACTAAAGGTGCTCAAAGTTGGGCATGATACACCAATGGTCAATATATTTTTAATCCAAAAGCCATAGTTCATAATAGAAAGCTAGCAACTTGGTATGTTATATCATTTTATTCTCTCGTACTTCAATAATTCTCCCCCTAACAATAATTTTTGGACTTTTTGCAATTCAAATGAATTTATTATTAGTATAATTAATAATGCATGAAAAAAAGCCATTATCAAAAGAAGAAGATTGTTGTGGTTTCTTTTAGACGGTAGAAAAAGATGTTTGCGCTTCATTTGTATTCAGGGGAAAAATAGGAGGGAGCTGGTTGCAAATATTTTCTCTTGACAATTTGCATAATAAAATGCCTGTTGTTCACTTTTTCTTTCATGGAAATTGATGAAAGTAAAATGACTGCCGATATCTGTTAGGTAGGATGTATAGTTTTCTTCTTGTTGATCGTTTGAAATGTATTAAATACACATTTAAATTCCTTTTACTTGTACTCCATCTTTTGATATTGATTTGATGCTTTTTCATACGTGCAGATATAATTTATTTTTGATCAAATAATGTAAAGTTTGTATTCTCGTCTTTGCATTGATTTTATTATTCTTATATATTTTTGGTGATGTAAATATTTTTGGTAGATCCCGCCTTGTATGTACTACAAAGAGAGATAGTTTGGACCTTTTATTATAATCGTTTGCACTTCGAAGTTGCCCAGGAAGACTTGGGATATTTTATGAAATACATTAAACGTCGACTATCTGATGATCCGATTAGGAGAGTAGATGTTTTAGATTCGACTTGTGTTAAGAAAGGCAGAGGTAGACCTAGGAATACTTGGGCTTATTGTATTAAAAATGATCTTAATTTACTAGAACTAAATGAAAATATGAAACTAAATAGGACGCAATGGAGAAAAAGGATTCATGTAGCCGACCCCACGTAGTGGGATTAAGGCTTTGTTGCTGTTGTTGTTTGCACTTCGAAGTTGCCGATGTGCACTACCAAATGTATATTTTAGAAGTTTTTAATTGAAAAATATGGATATGCATCTTTGTCAAATGTGGGATTCTTTGAAGCTTTGAAGCGAAATAGTCTTTAACTAACATAGATGAGTTTTATCCAAAGACAATCCATTCAAATTTCCTCAGTTTAAGAGAGAGAGCTCTTCATAATGTAGAATATTAGCACAAAGAGTATGTGAGAAAAGTTAGAATCTTTTTGCCTGATTAAATCTCCATCAAATCATCTTTATTTGACAAGCAACTATTTTGTTTTCATTTGGAGTTGCATCTGTACGTGAACATTTGAATGCCTATAATAAGCTCGTTTTGGATTTGGTTAATAATGATATCCAAATTGAAATGGTAAAGTTTTAATTTTTTCGGTACTCCATACCATCCTCTTATGTGCATATTTTTATCAGTGTTGTACGAAAATATGCTATTGACATGATAGATCAAAATCTTCCTTAAAAATGAGTTGTATAAATGGAGTTTAGGAAGAAAGCCCTATGGAGGTTCTATTTGTGATGAAATTTTGGACCATGAAAGTTTTGAGAAATGTAGAACTAGATCAAAATCAATGCTGAAGTTGAAGACCAGTATACTCGTCTGAAACATTGATATTGGAAATCTGATCGTAAATTTTTCCAGGCAAAACTCAGTAAGTGCAGATATGAAGGCCAAGTCTAGCTCTGAAGTAGCGTTATTAGCAGAGAAAAACACAAATTAGCTTAACATACTTTTGACAGTTCTAGATTTTTATGTTTATTCAACAAAAGATTAGATTCTTGTTTTAGTTTTTGATAGATCTTGATTGTTGTGTTTATTCAAGTAAAAGACTATATTCATGCTTGGCTATTTATGTCATATGACCCTACATACGGATTATTCTCTTCTTGCAGGCTTGTCATATGTGGAAATGTCCTTTGAAAATGATATGATTTGAAATATTGTTGGGATGTTTATATTTTAAATCAAGATACATGTGAAGTTGTTGGAAATGTTGGAGGGATCAAATAAATGCCAACATTAAGGAAGAATCTTTTATTTTTTGGGATGTATGTATTTCAATGGTTCATTTCCTGGACTGTAGTCAGTGTTAATTTTTAGGGGTGTCATGATATTTTGATGAATTGGGGTATGCAATAATTGATTGAAGCTGAAAAATCGATTTGATCGAATATATCTGATTGATTTGGTTTGGTTTATGAAATAATTGCTCAATTTTTGGTTTCTGATTATTATTAGTTTGGTTAAAAAATTTTTGTTAAACCAATAAATTGAATTATATTTTGGTTAAACTAATACATTAATCAATTAGTTCAACAAATCTATCAGTTAATCAATCTAAACTGACCTAATGCACACATCTTCATTAGGATTTTAAAATTTGGTTAAACCAAATCAAACCATGTTATATTTCTGTTCAGTTTGGCGGGTTATACATCTTATTTGGGTAGATCAGTTTTGTTTGTTATTTAGCTTGGGTTAATTGATTTAAGAAGTTTGTCAATCTATCTAACTAAATCGATCGATTGCACACCACTATTGATGAATGTAAATTTAGTAATCTTTACTTTTTTCTGGATAATTTGATGGCAGGCGATCATCATTTTATTTTTTAGTTGTTTGAAGTAGTTATGACAGTCATCAGTTATGAGGCTTGACATATTTAATGCTTTTGCTTGTTAGATTTGAGCTAAAGAATTTGATTTTTTTATCCAAGGCTAGTTCTTTCTTTTGTTAATTAATATATAGTTAATTATGCTATTTGCAATCTTATTAATTAATAATTACACTTCTAATTGTTTAATTAAACATGTAATCAAGGTTGAACTTAATTCTCAAATTATATATACTTTAGAGTAATTGTTGTAATATTATTTATTAGTTGCTAATTTTTTATCGATTAATTGATTAATTAAATCCTTATTAAGTTTAATTTATGCTATAATGAGGGTGCCAAAAGGCAATGCAAAAGCACCGTTTAGTATCGAGAACAACGTGTTATAATATAAAACATAAGGGAAAGATAAGACACGTCGCAAATAAGACACCTAAATTTTTATAAATCAACTTGAAGCCTGCGTCCGCAATAAGGGAGAGAGGATATGATCCACTAGAAAACATAAAAGCCACGCAAGAGGTGTATATGATGACGAAATAATCATGAGCACCCTTCCTAAATCCCAAGAACACTACCTTATAAATTACAAAGAAGTCCTACAATTTGTCTCACTTGTATTTGTATTTCTCATATGAAGACTTCTAACATGCATAAATAAAGTCTTCAAATTTCTCCAATAATATTCTAGCTGTCTGGAGCGGTATGTCGATGAGGAATGAATGAGAACCTTTAAGACAATAGCATGCGGATATGTAATGGAACCCTTCCATGGGCGGAACCAGCCTGGTGTTAAGAATTTGAATATTATGAAGGTGAATATAAAAGTTAAAGTGCTGGATATGTAAATACAAAAGAATTATGTGGTATGCATGTAAATGCTCTATTATTTTTATATGTTTAACACCTAAACTTTAATTGTTACATTTATACCACCCAAATCTTTCATATTAAATAAAAAATACAACAATATTTTCAGCAATACAAACTTCTTAACACCTACTAGAGGCCTTCAAACCACATCTTTAACACAAAATGATGAAATAAACAATACAATTGTTTTCTTAGCATCAACAATAATAAGTTCATACATTGTTTTTGAAATTTTCAATTATGATAAAATTGTAGATTTTACCTATTCGTTCAATGTTTAACATTTATTTCCCCTTCCAGAATGAGGACGGAACATTGTGGCGCACCGGAAATGTCTTACCAGCTGGCTTGATGACATTCCACTCAACAACAAAACCAATAGACAAATCCTGGCACGTGATGGGACTTGGGTACAATCCTAGCGTGAGTCCGGATGAGATACGCAATGCCGCCGTCATTCATTTTAATGGAAACATGAAGCCATGGCTTGATGTTGCCCTCAATCAATACAAACACCTATGGACTAAGTATGTTGATACTGAGATGGAGTTCTTGCCACTCTGCAACTTTGGCCTATAATACAAAAAATGTTGAAATCAACATTATTTAAACAGTACTCACTTCTCAAAGCTTAATCCGGTTAGATTTTTGTATAATTTTTTTTCTTTATATTTTGATCTCATCTTTGTAGTTTCCTGGAACATATGCCTGCCTCCAATTGTAGGTATTAAGATTTTATGGTCATTTTGTCATTATATTACGCTTGTCCTTTGTATTTTTACTAATAGATGAATTACCCCCATAATCTCATAATATTTTCACTAGAAATGTTTTAGTAATGCTAATTGAGTTCATTAAATTGATTCTAGCATTACTCTGTTTTAATTAAACTGCCAACATTATGTATGGTCAAATAGAGTTTTGCAGATTAACTTTGTAAACCTGTTTTGCTGATTGGGACATTTACATGCATACCACTTGTGCTGTAGAAGCTTTGTAAAGTTATTTTTGACCACTGTACGCGTTCCCATATTTTCTCCTGAGTTCTAGCATTAATATTTTCTGCGAGTTTTTGCATGTAGTGTTTTGGATATTTCTGTAGATCAATGAATATACTCTGCGTTGTTATTTTTTAAAAAAATATTTTTAATTTATATTAAATGATCAAATTGTTTCTCATTGATTAATATATTATTTTTCTTTAAATAAATATTTTTGAAATATATTTTTTTCTTCAGTCAAGTAAATTAGATTGGGTCAGGAAGAATTTCAAAGTTGTAAATGTTTTGAATAATATAATATATAAATAATTAATCAAAATTTCTATTCTATATATGTCAAAACTACATTTAGGGCCCGTTTGGGGCAGCTTATAAGTGCTGGTGGCGTTTTTAAGACGCCGTCGTACCGTTTGGTTCGCGCGTTTCACCAGACTGGTGGCGTTTTTAAGACGCCGTCAGTACCGTTTGGTTCGCGCGTTTCACCAGCTTATCCGAAATCGAGTTTTGGTTTTTACACTAAATGCATGTCGCGGGTCGAACCCCGCGGCCCGCCTGCGGGCTGGCCCGGCGGGGCCGTCGATCAAGACATTAAACGCTGTTTATCCTGAAACGCACAAGCTTTATAAGCATGGTCAAAAGAAAGAAAGAAAAATGAGCAAAAGATTAGAAAGAAATGAGGGCATAGACTCAATTTCTTATTATTATGTTTTTTAATTTAAGTAGTGCTCTTTCAGCTTTTTAATTTTCATCTTAGTTCTCCATACAACGATTTGTTTTTCTTATTTCCTGCAATTTTTTCATTGCATTCTTTTTTTATTCTTTTCCTACTAAGAGCCGTTGCCTATTTCTCACATTAGGGTTTGGCATTTTAGTTTCTCAAAATTTTTATTTAGGTATTCATATCATAGTTTTTGGGATATTCTTTATAATTAAAGGTTTACTTGTGTGCTTAACTATAGATAATAATAATAGTCAATCTCAATTAATTATGATTTAGTTCTATTTATTTAGTGTGGAACTATATTAGTCGACTATCATCATTCAACATTTGTTTATTTGCATATGAAATTTATTGAAAACTCATTTGGATTTGTGGATTGGCACACATTTGATCATTCTCCCTCTGGTTCAATGAGCATTGGATTTAGTAATAATAGTATGAAATAAAGTATATCTACTGTTTGTTAAGGGTATTGTCCTTGATGCTTATGGCTTGATACTTGAATATTTAGTAGATTGTTATCCTGCTATATATACATTCAATCATGCTTTTCTAGTTGCATATTTTTATAATTTTCATGATTATGTTGTTATGATGTGTCGTAAGCAGTGTTGTCATAGCGCAAAATACAATGCTTTAATTTGCTTCAAAGCACAACGCACAGAGTGAAGATGCATTTTTATTAATAAATGTGCTAATAGGTTATACAAAACTATTAATGCATAAGTTCATTCATTGACAATTATAAAATATACAATATGACTTAAAGCTGCATAAAATATATAAAAAAAGGTGAAGTAATACATAATTTGAAGGCAAATATTAAGGGTAAACCTAAAAATTAAAATTTTGAATAATTTTTAATAGTTTGCTGCAACACTTAATAACTTAGAAATTGTAAAAAAAACATATTAATTAACTTCAATACTTTGAAGTACGCCTTTACGAAGTGAAGCGGGCATCACACACTTCGCTTCACTTTGCTCTTTAAGCGTGCTTTTAAAAACATTGGTTGTAGTGCACGTGTCCATATGTGATGGATGCAAATGTTGTAGTGCTCCTCTTGTTGATTTGGAGTGATAACTCTCCTTGTGGTTGATTATTGGATTCCACTAAGTGGCCTTCTCTTGTTTAGGATATCTTGTCAGACTAACTCTACATAAAAGGTAATAGAGTAAATACTTGATGAGTCATTTCTTAATACATGGTTGTATCTGTTGTAGTGGTGGATGAATATTTTAGCACACAAATAAATTGAATTAGAGGTTGTTTAGTCTGCAGCAAGCGGTGCATTGTATTTCTTTTGTCGGATTGTTGAGAATACAAACGTTTGGTTGATAGAATTTCAAATGCACTGTAAAATAACAATGTGAGATTTACTCCTGTGTTCATTTTTTGAGTTTGGAATTTGATGGTGGAGCTGGTAAATGGGTTTTTGATCGATTAACAATTAAAAACACACTGCAGAAAAAAAATAACATTGATTCGAGAGATTTTGTAAACAAAGAAATCCAGAGAAATAACACAAAAAATTTAACGTGGACAAATCTGAGAAAAAGAAAAAAAACCCCGGAGCCATGCCATACCAAAACCTAACTATGAAAAAGAGAGAATACATATTATATTACTAAAAGTTTTCTCTCCACACTACTGAAACTTGCAATAATTTGAAATGCTTATCCTCTCTTGATCACAGGACAAAAATCACCAAAATCGTCCTCAGATTTTTTCTACTCCACATGAAAGCACTGTCGAGAAAATACCGCACTCGAGAGAATTTTTACCGCTCCGAATCGAGGGATTTAAGTATTGTAATGGAGAAATGTTCAACGCAACCATATCGGCACTCGACATAATTATTCATAGCTTTCAACGTCTAAAACTGCAATGACTCCGACTTACCTGCGCCTATTTGTGGCGTAGTTACGCTGTTCAATTGCGGGGTAGTTACACTGCTCGATAATGTTCTGACTACCATAGCTATGTCAGTATGTGATAGGTACACCACCAACTTCCTATTGCTTAGAGCTTCTGAGTGCTCCTTCAGGCTCCACTTAAGGGGGTACAACTACAAACTGGCTTTACCACACTCATATTGAGCCTTTATAAGATCTTCTCAACATACTCCGTTTGAGATAGCTTTACTATACCTACTTATTCTCATCCCGAGGAACTTCTTAGTTATATATAAATCCGTCATCTCAAATTCCCTTGATAATTGATCATGCAAGTCCTTGATTTTCTCAATAATTTTCACTGCAATCAGTATGCCATCCACATACAAAAAGAGCAGGATATAACAATTACCAAATTTTTTGATAAAGCATCATTGGTCTTCTTGTCACTTTTTATATCTACTATCTGACATGAACCTAGCAAATCTCATGTACCACTATCTAGTGACCTATTTCATGCCGCAAAGACTCTTCTTCAACCTGCAGGCCAAATCTTTTTTCACTGAAATCTCATAACTCTGTGGTTGCACCATATATAGCTCTTCTTTCATATCTCCATGTACGAAGGTTGTCATGACATCGATCTGCTTTATATTTAGATATTTCTTTATAACCAAGTTCAACACAACTCTGGTAGTTGTCATATTCACTATAAGAGAAAAGATCTCAGTGTATCCCACTCATTTCTTTTGCTGAAATCTCTTCGTAATAAGTCTTGCCTTGTAGAGTTTGCTATCGTCTGACTTCTCTTACGACATGTAAAACCACTTCTTATGTGGTGCACTTTTATCATCTAGTTATTTTTCCAAATTCAAGTATGATTTGAACTTAATGACTGCATCTTGTCATCCATGTTAAACTAGCAAACTTTTAAATTTTAAGTTTGAGTGACCTCGTCATAGCACTCTGATTTACCATCATTAGTCAGTAAAATATAGTATAATTAAGGAGAATACCTTTGTATCGTTTGAGTAGCTCTATTGGACCTTAGAATTTAGTAGTAGGTGACTAAGGAATTTCCTATGCTTCATCAAATTGAGCACTTACTTCTCTACCATTTTGATCACCAGTATTTTGTTATCTCAACATATTTGAAATATTCATAAGTAAATGAAGACAACCATGAGTTATGCTCCTATTTTTGTTTATCTTCATTTCATTGAAAGTAACATCCCTACTTCTGATGATTTTTTATTTTGATAGCTCCATAATTTATACCCATATTCATCTAAGCCATACATAAGCAAGTCTACTTTATAGATTTTGAATCAAATTTACTCATGTATCCTACATCAAAGTGAACATATGCAAAACACTCAAATACTTGCATATGAGATAGAATTATCTCTTTGTTACTCCGAACTTCTTTAGGCAAGTCTTCCTTCAAAGGTGTTGATGAACTACAATTGATAAACATTAGTTTTCACCACTATTTTTCAAAACTGCCTTGACAAGCATGAATGCAACCTCATACTCTTGGCACACTCTGTGATGACTTTGTTCATGAACTCAACTACTATATTCTACTATGAAGTACTTGGAATGGTAAACCCATGCTTGATCCCCTTTAAAGCTCAATAATTCCTGATACTTTAATTATGATACTCTCCCTCATTATCTTATTCGAAGCATTTCAACTTCAAGTCTATCTCATTTTCTACCATGACCTTCCATTTAAACAATTTAAATACATAAAAATTTTGTTTTAAGAAGTAAACCCATACCTTTCTTGTGATCATCAATGACAGTGATAATGTAGTGGGAATCTCCAATGGACTGAATTAGAGTTGAATCTTATATGATAGTACACACTAACTCTAATTTTTTTGACTTCACTATTGACGCACCTTTGGAGAAAGAAACTTGTTTTTACTTGTCATATACATAATATTTTATAGAAATCTAAATGTCCTTTGACTTTATTCTTAGAAATTAAGACTTCATATATTTCTCGCTCATATAGCCAAACTCGTAGTGCCAAAGACACATCAAATTTGGTTTTAGCTACATTAATGGATTAGATCATATCATTGATCAGAAAAGGAGTGACTTCAATGTTGCTCCAATTCATCACCATTGTCCCCTTGATCACCTTTCA